CCAGAGAGAATTGTGCCCTGTACTGAGTTATTGTTTGAATAAAAGTTTTATTTATTGCATTGAGCTGGGCCTCGGTGTCTTTTTCGGCTGCCGTGCCTGTGTGCTGCCCTCACCGCCTGCATCGCCCACCGCACATTGCCATGCCGTGTTTTTTGTTCCCTGCTCCATCCCTCGGCGCGGGGCGGCCCTGGGGGGCTCCGGCTGCTGCCCGTGCTCGCTGAATTAAACAGCTTCGCTGAGCGGGAGCAGCGACAACTGTTTAAGAGCCGGCCCCCCCCCCTCTGTGAGCACCTGAGGGGGTGATGCTGCTGCTGCTCCCGCATGCCAAGGCTCCGGCTGCGCTTTCCCGGCTCTGGGAAAGCGGGGATGGCCGGCGCGGGGGGAAGGAAGCCCCCCCCTCCCTTCCGCAGCCCCGCCGTGCCCGACCCCTGCGCTCCCCAGGTGGCTCCCGGCTGGCCGTGCCCTTCCTTCCCCTCCTCGCAGCACCAGCGACTCAATAAACACGACTTTTCCTCCTTTTTCTTCTTTTTTCCTCCTGTTTCCTCTGCCTGACGTGCTGCTGCGGGGTGGCCAGCGGGCTCTGGGGCCGCCGGCTCGGAGCCTTTAAGTCTCTCCTTAACCACGACCTTCTGTTCCCGTCAAGCGTCCCGGTGTCCTCCAACGTGCCTTCTGTTTCCCTTGCAGCCCCGATGTTGAAGTGGCCAGGTTTTGAGGTGCCCCTGCCCGTAGTTAGTAAGTTGACGGTGTCGGGGGGCCGAGCCCTGGGTGCGCTGGGTCCGCGGGGCTGCGCGGGGACGGTGCCACCGCTCTGCTTCCCCCTGCACCCGTGCCCTCCATCGGTCACCGCTTGTCCCCGGCCCGGTGGCGGGAGCTCCGGGTCTCGCCGCGCTGCATCCGCTCGGCCTCTCGCTCCGCTGCCGTGGCTGCGCTTGCCGGGATGCTGAGCTGCTCCTGCGCTTCCCCCGCTGCCCGTAACCAGCCTCTTTGGTTGTAGGTCTCTGGTGCCCGTCGCCAGCCCCAGCCCGCTCTCCAGCGGGGCAGGGAACGTCCACGCTAACCTCGAGTTTTTTGAGCAGCTTTTTTTTGTTGTAGACTTGTCCCAGGAGATTCCTTGTCCTGGGAGCCTCCTCATCCTGGCCCCGGGGATGGGATGGAGGAGCTTCCCCGGGAGCCGACACCCACCTCGCTGGTACTGCAGAGCCTGGAGAGCCCCTTTCCCGTTTCTCTTTGATCCATGAGCTGGATTCCCTGGAGTTGCAGGCTCCACCCCAATGGCTCTTCTCTGCCAGCACAGAAATAGTTAAATGAGAGCCCCGGGTGACTCATCAAAGCAACTTTTCCTCTCCCTCCAGTCCTGAGAATCTATTTTGGCATCCTGGGGGGGGGGGGGAAGTGATCTAAGCTTCTGCATTAATTAGGTGGGAAATTAATTACCCTATTTTTAAGCAAAAGCCATTTATCTTTTAAGCAGAGAAAAAGTGCACGTGGAGAGGGGAGGGGTGGCAGGGAGGGGGCCTGGGGCAGACAGTGAGTGCCCGTCCCAGGGGGTTGGCGGTCCCAGCCTCTTCCTTCTGCTCTGGGAGGTGGCTGGGGACATCCCAAAGCTTTTCAGTCCAGTTGCAGATGGTAACCACGGCACTTTACCTGCCCCCACGTCTGGTGCCTCCATGGTAGGGGACTGGCCAGTGGCCCAGCTGTGGGACCCATGGGGTGGTGGGCCATGGCCACAGCTTCCACTGGGGAAAGGAGAGGGATTGTGTGGCTCCCTGGGGAGGGCTGGGGGGCACTGGGCAGGTGAGACAAGGAGGCTGCGGGGCCACAGGATGGGCAGGGAGGTGCTTGGTGGCTCCCTGCCCTGTGCAGGTTTGGACCCAATGACCCCAGGCACCTCTGACAGGCAGTAGAACCCCCAGAGCTGCCCACACCTCAGGGGAGTTAATTCCTGCTGGGAGAGCACAGAGGAGACCTCTTGATGTGGGGTAAGGATGCTCCCCATGCCAAGGCAGCCCCTGTACCCTGTCCTGGCCAAGTGATGGTGGCCAAGTGACAGGACAGTGTGGGGGACATCCCAGGTAGGTGAAACCCCAGGTTAGGCTGGTTGGGCTGGACTTGGTCTCTTGTTCTTTATCTCCCCCACTCTTGGAAATTAACTTCTCCAGAGGCAGCACAAGGCAGGGAGCTGCCAGCTCTGCCCTTGGCTGGGAGGTCAGGCCGTAACCTGGAGCTGTGCAGTGCAGAGCCAGGTGATCTCGTGGTGCTCCCATTTGTGGGAACTGTGTGAGTCCAGCCTGGGGGAGGCTGGAGCAGCTCCTCCAGCCCTGGTCCCCTGTGGCATCTTTTGCTTTAGGCTGATGAAGTGAGGTAGGAGAACATCCCACATGCAGCTGCCCTCGGCTCATGTCTGACACCTGCCAGGGCTTTAGCTGGGAGAGGAGCTGAGGAGTGGGGGCAGCTCAGCTGGGGGGGCTCCACAGGGCAGAGCCTTTCCAGTTTAAGCCCTTCCCAAAGCTGCTATCCTGGGGTCTCGCCAGTGCCCGCTCGCTGTGCCGGTGCCCCGTCCTCACCAGCCCCGCTGCCACTGTCCCCCTGTTAACTCTTCCTTCCTCTTCCTCCGCAGAAACCCCTTTGCCAACGTCCAGCTGAAGCCAACGGTGACGAACGACCGCTCGGCTCCGCTCATCAGCTGATCCGGGAGCGCTGGCGCCCGCGTGGCACTCGCCACCTCCTCATCCTCATCCTCCTCATCCTCGCCACTGCATGTCCGGCTTCCCAGGACTTCATTTTTAGGCGGAATTTATTTAATCCTGCTGCTTTGAAAGCCAAAGGCTCAAGCTAGTGCCCTAGTTCTCTCTTCTCTAGACCCAGCTTGTCCCCCTTGGTGGCAGAGGGTCACACCACTGTCGTGTCACCCGTGCTCTGCCTGCACTAAGGAGTGTGGTGGCAGCGTATCCGGAGCTGGAGCAGCATGTCCCGGGGCTGGGATGGTTCCCAGGCTGAGCACCAGTTTGCCATGGGTGGGAAAATGGGCTCAGCTGGAGAAGGGGCTCCGGGGGCTCACAGGTGGGGTGGGAACGGCAGAGGGGACACGATCCCCCTGCTCTCCCCTGCCCTGACAGGAGGACCCCTAGGAAAGGTGGGATAGCCCGGATACCCCGTGCGAGCCAAGGGAAGGCGGGAGCTGTAGGCAGCTCCCGGGCTCCCACCAGACCCAGCGTGCTGGCACTGCAGCCCCTGCTGGGACGGGGCCAGCTCTGCTCCCAGAGCTCCTGCAGTGCCAGGGCTCGGGATACTGTAGGGAATTACGGTACTGCTGTAAAATATAAGCTAGAAAAAAAACCACTTGTGGAGCGAGGGCAGTGTGGAAGCCTTGGGGTGCCTGGGGCGGTTGGGGGGCCCTGCCCCCATGCACAGGAGCTCCCTCCAGACCTCTTGCTTGGCTGTTTGCTCTTCCTCTGTTTCTAGGGCTGCATGAGAGAGAGAGATAGAGATAAATATATATAAATATATATATACACACACACTTGCTAAGCTTATTGCTGGGAGTGCCCACGAGTGAGGTGGCTCCCGGGCCCTTCTGCAGTTCCGGGGAGCCAGCACAGGAGTCTTGTCCTTGCTCCAAAAGCAGGGAGAAGGGGGTTTCCAGGCAGGAATTGTGCCTCCCGTGGGTGAGCAGTTGATGCCGAACAGAGTTTTTGCTTTTTCCGTTGTATTTCTCATTTTGCACTTCCCAATCACTAGTGCAGCACGTCCTGGTCACCACAGTCTGGGCAGCGGGCGCTCGGCCGGGCACGGAGCGGTGCCAGCGCGGGGCTGGGTCCCAGCGGGATGTGGTGGCTCATCTCTCCCACGTCCCCTCCGACGGGGTTTCCAGCTCTGCTGCAGGAAAACAGTTTCTCTCCAGGCTCCAGCTGTACACGAGGGTTCCCTGCTCCATGATGTGCCTCGTCTCCCTCTCCTGTGCCTCCTCTTCTCCCAGGGCTGGAGCAGATGGGTGGGGACCACACGGGGCAGGGGTGAGGGGAAGGGCTCCACACGGTGCAGTGGGTGGGAGAGGGCTGGTGGTCACAGCCCGGGGTGGGGACAGGTCTGGGGTCCCCTCGGCCACAGCGTTGTCCTCTTCCACCCCTGTGCCAGGGGCTGCCCCCCCGGGACCCCTGAGCAGCCACCCCGGCTCCAACCAGCCCCCGGGGGCTTCGCCGCACCTCCTGGCTCGGTGGCACCTGCAAGACGTAACCTGAAATAATTTTTTATGAGAAAAAGTAATTTATGAGCAATGAAATCCCTCCCACCCCTCCCTCCTGCAGCGTTTTCCCTGGCCAGAGGCGGGGCCTGGCCCCAGGTCCATCCCGAGCTGGCTCCATCCTGCGTGCCGGGCAATGATCGGGGCAGGAAACAGCTTAAGATATTTTAAAAACTTTATTATTGGGCCGATGAGATTTGACACACATGCTGGGAGCTGTATGGAAATCAGCACTGATAAAAAATACAGCAATTATGACCCGTATTGAGAAAATAGACCATGTAAGAAGAGCCTTTCTATTAAAAAAGTTACCCAAGCCACAGCTCTGTCCTCATCCACCCTCCGGAGCCGGGACCTGCGGCGCCATAGACCAAACCCAGGGTGGGGTGGGGGGCTGGACCAGCACCCCTGGGTGCAAGGGGGTTGGGGGGTGAGCACCCATGGTGCTGGTGGTGTGCAGAGAAGGGGAGGCAGGGGGGGCAGCAGGGTGGCTGCTGCGGGAAGGGAATCCCAGGAGCATCCCACTCCTGCATGGGCAGCACCCATGGGTGCAGCACCCCGGGCCAGTGCAGGGGGTGACCCCCCAGCTGCAAAGGGTAAGGGAAGAGCTTGAGAGAATTGCGGGGGGAGGAGTTACAGGCCATGTAGGGACTTAAATAAAACACTTAAATAAGGCATTAATTGCTCAGTGGTGGGGAGGAACCAGCAATGGGGGGTACAGCCACCCTGGGGCTGAAGTTGGGGTCCCCTGGGACCCGTCACCCCCACAACAGCCTTCTGAGCACTGAGGGGGCTCCAGTTGGGATACAGCTCCAGGGTGGGCTGAAACATGCTGGATGGGTGGGAAGAGGGTGGGCAAGCATGGGAACACCTGGCTGGAACCTGAGTGGCATCACAGTGCCAGGTTGGGGATGGGCTCATCCCACAGGGTCCTGGTGCCAGAGATGTGTCCAGCCCAGGATGGATGGATCATCCCATGGCATGGAGCAAAACTCCTGGCACCAGCCCCATCCCACGTGGGTGCACGTCTGTGCACGAGGACATCTGTGTGCCCCACACGGGGTACCAGGAGCCAGGACATGGGGCGGGGGGCGCTCAGAGGGGACATTTCTCACCTCAGGGTTTGGTCTATAGACCCCAAAAGGAACCAGCCCTGATTTCAAGGTTTCGTTCAGCTCCGCTTACTTCTATTTCCTTCCGGAAGCTGCAATTGCACAATTATCCTAAGCCTCGAATGAATTAAAAAAAAAAAATAACAAAGAAACCAAATTTAAAAAAAAAAAAAAAATGTAACAAAGAACCACGAGCACCCCCTGCCCCCCTCCCCCCGACTCGATACGTCTCTTTGGCAGCAATAACTTAAAATTGCGTCAATGTGGGGTCAATCAACAGCGAGTTTTGGTTCTGGGGTGGGTTTGGGGTGGGTTTTTTTAATCCTTTTGTTTAAATACAAAAATAGTCAGGTTGGCAGGTCCTGGTGGGGGGATGTTCCCCCCTAACCAGCCCTCCACGTGTCGTTCCCTGCCACAGTGGGCAACGGTTCCACCAGCCCTCAGGATCCCCCCGCTGGGACTGCTCCCCGAAAGCCAAGGGAGGGGAGCCCCCCCAAGCCCCAAAAACCATGGTGCCCACTCTGGAGAGACAGTGGCACCCCTGGCACAGGGAGTGACATCAAGAGTGGCAGCAGCCAGTGGCTCCTCACTCGGGAATGTTGTGGGGTGGCTGTGGGGCAGCCGTGGGGCAGCTGTAGGGTGGTTGTGGGGCAGCCGTGGGGCAGCTGTAGGGTGGCTGTGGGGCAGCCCTGGGGCAGCCAAACTGCCACAAGGTGCAAGACCAAGCGCACGGCATGGGGAGGGGACAGCACAGGAGGTGTGGGGACAAACACCGCCTCGGGGAGCACGCGTGGGCAAGAAGCCAAGGGGGGGGACTTCACTGGGGGGGGACACTCCGCAAATGTTAGCAAGGTCAGGGCACTACCCTTTAAACGCTATAATTTATATATATATATGTATATATATATATAAGTGTGTATTTCGCACGCACGCACACAGCCACCGCACACACACGCACGGCCGTCACCGTCACCCACCGCCTGGCCCCGCGGGGGGCACGGCCCCACTCCCACTCGCAGCAGCAAACGAGTTCCTTCCGAGAAAATCTGCCTAAAAAATCCAGAGCAGGGCCCGGGAGCCCACGGGCAGTCCCCGTGCCTGGCCCCGCCGTCCTGCGCCTCCCCGGTGCCGGGGCGATGCCGGCCGCGTCCCCGCGGGCTCACTCCCGGTCACCGTCCTCGCTGCTGCCTGCAACGAGCAGAGAGGGGCCGTGAGAGGGTCCCGCCCTCCGCGGGGTGACCGTCCCGCAGGGCACAAGGCCAGGGTGTCCCGTGGCTCACAGTGCCATCGGCAGGGATAGGGGTCCTGGTCACCCACAGGGGAGGACTCACCTCCTATGGAGTCCATGTCCGAGTCGGAGACGTGGGTGATGGAGAACCGGGACACTGGGGCGGGCGAGACCGTGAACCGGGAGAACTGGATGGGCAGCACCTGTTTCTGTGCCGGCACCAGGGCAGGCAGGGCGGGCACGGCCGCGGGGGTCTCTGCCGGCGTCCCCGGCAGCGAGGACACCAGGGACGGCTTCACCGGCATCAGCGGGAAGTCATCGTCCCACTCAAAGCCGCCGCCTGCGATAGGAAGGGAGGGAGTTAAGCCCATCACGGGGTCCCACCACAACTGCTACCCACCACCCCATAACTGCTCCCCCATCATCCCATAATTGCTGCCCCCCATCACCCCCTAAGCACCAGCCCCACAACCCCCTGGTCTCTTACTCTCTTCCGAGGCGTTGCCATCTGAGGAGTCGTCCGAGGCTCCGAGCCTGTCTGTGGGGCTGGGGGGGCTGCCACTCGCAGGGGGCTGCCCCAAAGGCAGAGGGGGCTGCCCCGAAGGCAGGGGGGACTCTGGGAAACCCTGCTCAGCCAGCTCCCGCGTGGGGCTTTCCTGAGGATGGAGAAATAGCAAGAAGGAACCTCAGTGGGGGCACAGCTGGGGATGGCTCCCACCACCAAAATGCTGTGGGACCGTGACCAGCGCCTGGCACTGCCCCCACAGGGCACCCACCTGGTCGAAGAGGTAGATGGTCACGTCATCGTAGAAGGAGACGGCCTTCTTCTTGCGCTCCAGGTCCTCGCAGAAGGACTCGGAGAGCAGACTGGGCATCTTGAGGAGGCTGCGCAAGTTCCGGCCACTCTGGCTCTCGGCCACCACGATGGGCACGGCCGCCGGCTCCTCCTCGCTCTCCTCGCTCTGCTCCTGGATGTTGTAGCAGCGCAGCTCCTCATCCGACTCGTCGCTGTCCTCCGTGTCCTCATCCTCCTCCTCCGGCTCCTCGCGGCGCTCAGGGGCCGACGGGAGCGGGGAGAGGCCCGGAGCTGGCTCAGCCCTGGGCAGCAGCGTGCTGGGACCCCCCGGCGCATCACCCACCCCGGTCACCTCTGGGGGCAGCCGCAGATCCCCAGGCCCCAGCACGGGGGGCACAGTCTGTTTATCCCCTGCCACAGCTCCTCCAAGTCCAGGGGCACCGTCAGGCACCTGGGCCCCTCCTGTGGCCAGTGGCTCCCCAGGGCTCGCAGGCACCGGGGTCAAGAGGAAAGTCTTGGGGGTGACAGAGCCTGGGGGACAGATGTCTGTGTCGGGGCGCGGGGGGCTGCCCGGCACCAGCCCCGTGCCAGCGGGGCACTGCTCGGTGCCAGGTGCCTGCTCCGTGGGGCCGGCCGGTGTGCTCCTGTCCTCAGCCCCCTCCCAGTCCCCCTCCAGAGCCCGCGCCACTGGCACAGGCACTGCCACCGCCACACCAGGAGCTGCTGGGGGGCTGCCGGGTGCTCCCGGCGGGTGCAGCGGGTCCTCCCCTCGCCCCACATCCTGCTCAGGGGAGCGGGGACCCTCCTCTGCCTCTGGGGTGTGGGATCCATCACTGTCCCCCTCGTCCTTGGGGCCGCGCTCAGCCTCGGCGTCACAGTCGGAGAAGTAGGCAGAGTCACGGTAGGGGCTCTTCTCTGCCAGGCTGTGCAGCTCAGCCCCCAGGCCGCTGGGCAGCCGCGTTTCGGGGGCTGGACCCTCGCCCTCACCCCCTGGCAGCCCCGGGGGCGGCTTTGCCATCTGGCTGAAGGCCTCTGGCTCTCGGGGCTCGTGGGGCTCCTTGAGGACAAACTCAGGGGACTCGTTGTTCTCGGTGTCGTAGCCGCTGTCCAGGGCACGGGCTTGGCCAGAGGGCACAAAGGCACCGGGGCTGAGCACCTCGCAGGAACTGGCCGTGGAGGGGATGTCCAGTGACTCCAGCGAGTCCGGGGTCCCCACCTGCTTCTGCAGGGACCTGAGTGCTGGGGCTGCCTCCGTCCGCTCCGTGTAGTCCGCAGAGAAGTCGGTGAAGACGCCGGAGGTCAGCTCTGCCGTGTCCTCATCGCTGCCTTCGTCCACGCTGGGGAAGCTGCCGCTGGAGAAGGTCTTGTCCGGTGTCCGGTCGGCGTCGCTGGTGGCACAGGCGCCACTCTCAGCCACGGCCTCCGTGGGCATCGGTGTGGAAGCCTCGGCGGGCTCTGCCGTGGGCTGGACGCTGTCTGTGCCAGGCTCAACGGGCAGGCCGGGGTTTGGGGCGGTGGTGCCAGCCATGGGGGTGGCCTCCCCCGGCCCCCCAGCGGCGTGGGGCAGTGGGCTGCAGGCAGGGCTGCCCCCTGCCACGCTCTCATCCGGGTGGGCATCTCGAGGGGCCCCTGGCGCAGGTGTCGGGGCCGCGGCGGGGCCCCACGGCGTGGCGGGGCTGCCCGCCAGCGTGACTGCCTGTGCGCGGCCGCAGGGTGATGAGTCACGGCCGTGCCAGGCCTGGAGCCGCGGGGAGGGCGAGCGGCACGGGGAGGAGGAGCCGCCGGCCATGGCGGGGGGCTGATCCTGCCGCGGGCAGCGGAAGTCGTGTCCCGGCGGGGACCCCCCGAGCTGGGGCTGGCCGCGTGGCACCGTGCCCAGCGGCTTGGCCATGAGCCCGCGGAAGGTGATCATGCGGCGATAGCACCAGCTGTCGCCGGCCGGGGGCTCACGGGGGCTGCCGCTGCCGATGTTGTTGTTGGAGGAGCTGTTGGAGACCCAGGGGTGGCGCTGAGGCGGGGGGCTGGCACCTGGCGGGTGGGGGGCACTCGGGGGGTTGTCCTCGCCCAGATCCAGCGCCACACAGTCCGGCGGGGCCGCGCTCTGCCCCGGTGTCCCCCCGTACCTCCGGGGGCTGTAGGTGCAGTTCCCTGACGGCGAGACGCCCAGCGGGTCAGTGAACATGCTGGGCTGGAAGCTGGGGATGGGCCAGTCCTGGCTGGCTGGCTGGGGGGGCTCCTCCTCCAGCAGGTACCCCTCGGCCCCGTGGCTGGGGGACGGCTCGTAGCCCCGCGGCTCCTGCCCAGGGCAGGGGTAGGGGTAGTACTCGGCGCACTCCCAGGAGGGCTCTCCCGCCGGCGCGTGGCCCAGGAGTGGCTCCATGCTCAGGGACACGGTGGGGCTGCCATCAGAGTCGTAGGCTCCACTGCTCCGGCCGCCCTGGGCTCTCCAGCAGGACGGGGGGCGCAGGGGCCCCCGCTCGCCCGCCGGGCTGTAGGTGCACATGGCGTAGTCCAGCTCGGCGCTGCCCTCCCCGGGGCCCTCGATGCGGATGTAGTACTCGCTGCCCAGAGAGGGGCTGTGGGCACCCAGGATGGGCACCACGCCAGGCACCGGCACCCCAGGGCAGGCCCCGGCCTTGCACTCGTAGCAGGAGGGGGAGACCCCCAGGCTGAGCCCCGCCGTCGTGGCAGGGTAGTAGAGGTCGTGGTAGCGGGCAGCGCTGGTGGGGCTCAGGGACCCCAGCGGGGCCTGGAAGTGCTCGGTCTTGGTGTGCTCCCACTTGTACTCGAAGTTGAGGCCGTGGCTGGTCTCCATGACGGTGAGGATGTCGTCCCCGTCCGAGGGGAAGCCGTCGGCCGAGAACTGCTCCAGCAGTGGGAAGGAGGAGAGCTCGGGGCCGTGGTGGCTGCCGCCGGCGCTGCCGTTGGGCTTCATGGAGTTCCAGCGCTTCTCGAAGTCCTCCTCGGCCTCCGTGGCCCCCTTGGCACACAGGTAGGACAGCAGCAGGTGCACCTCCTCCGCTGTCGGGCGCTGCTCAGGCTGCAGCCAGCAGAACTGCATCACCTCGTACCTGTGGTGAGGGGCCGGGGTCAGCCTGGCCCCCCGCCCACCACGGGGTGGGGCAGGGCAGGGGGCAGGACGGGCTCCTCACCAGCGCTCCGACAGCGAGAGCTTCAGCTGCGGCTTGGGCAGCTTCAGCTGCTGCTCCTTGATGGCATAGGCCAGCACTTGTCGGTCCGAGTAGTGGTCGTAGGGTTGGCTGCCCAGCTCAAACAGCTCCCAGATGGTGACACCCAGCGACCTGCGGGCACGGTGGGATGCTGGGGGTGCAGGGAGACCCCCACCCCCCTACCAGCCAGCTACCCCAAAAACAATCCACCCCTGCAGCCCCCCCGCCCCCCCAGGCCCGCTCACCAGACGTTGCTGGCCTTGGTCTGGTCCACCACGAGCAGGTTGCCGTGCACCTCGTCGATGAGCTCGGGCGCGATCCAGCGCAGCGGCACCCACAGCTGGTCGGCCGTCACGAAGTAGTCGTCCTGCCAAGTGTGCAGGGTCAGTACGAGAAGAGAACGTCAATCCAGGGCGTCAGGGACCGGCCGTGCCGCGGCACCCGCCACCCCCTGCCCCCAGCCTGTCCCATGTCCCCAGTCCCCCCCCAGCTCTGCCCCCAGCCTGCCCTTTGCTCCTCCTGGCACCCACTGCCCCTCCTCCCCCCTCTCCCTGCTCCCCCTCTGAGCTCCTCCAGCCCCCGAGCCCAGCGATTCCAGCTCTGCCAGGAGCCATAGGCAGCCCAGAGAAGACAGACAGACATATGGACAGGGGGACAACCCCAAGCCGTGTTGGCAGCTGCCTGCAGGGACCTGTTCCTGGCAGAGGGGCACGTCCGGGCCAGCCCAGGCAGCGCTGGAGAGCCCAGGCTGCGTGGCACCCCTCTGGGCAGGGGGCCAGGGTGCTGGGGGAGGGAAAAAAAAACCCTTAATGCTCAGGGGGACAAACTGTGGGGAACTGAGAGTCCCTCACAGGGTGGTCTGCACCCCCCCTGCACTCCAGAAAACCCAGGGGGTGCCCCAGCACTGCTGGGGAGCAGGAATGTGTGCGGGTGTGGGGAGGGGAAGGCTCAGCATGGCATGTGCCAGAGTGGGTGTACATGTGGGTGCCCCAGGGGTCCCGGTGCGCAGCCCCCAGCCCCCTCCTCCCTCCAACCAGCCTTACTTTGTACTTGCAGTGCGAGAGCCCGTAGTCCCCGATCTTGACGGTGAGGTCGGCGGTGAGGAGGCAGTTCCGCAGGGCCAGGTCGCTGCCGAGCAAACCCGGAGCTGTCACCGCTGCCGGGGGGTCGGGGGACACCCACCACCACCGGGGGGTCGGGGGGCACCCACCAGGGACCCCTCGGGGGCAGCGGGACGGCCGAGCGGCGGCAGAGCCCCGTCCCCGCGTCCCTGTGCCCAGCGCCGGGCGTGCCGATAACGCGGCAGCCAGTGCACAGCAGGAATGCCTGCGCAGCCCCAGCTGCGCCGCTGTCCGTCCGTCCATCCGTCACGCGCCGAGCCAAGCAGAAAGCGGGTGTTCCCGGGCAACGTGAGCCCCAGCACAGGGCTGGGCTCCTGGGCAGCTGCTCCAGCCCCGGGGCGGGTCACGCAGACAGGGTACACGTGAGACCCCCGTTACGCCAGGGCCCCGCAAAGCTGCGCTGCCCACAGGGGAGTCCCCCTCCAGCACAGCTGGGGACCCCACATCCCCCCAACCACAGTTTGGGCACCCTCATGGGGACCCACCTGCAGAGCCGGGCTCAAGTGGGGACACTCCAGTGGCCCCCGATGGCAGCACGCCCCCTCCTCAACAAAATCACTGATGCTGGAGTCTCCGTCTGCAACTCACTCAGCACCAGGATATTGTTGGGCAGGAGGAGCAGTGGTGGGGCAGGAACGCTGGCATCCTGGGAACTGCCCCCATCCGGACCCCTAGTTTCCCCCTGCCCCCCAGGCCAGCCTACCTGTGGATGTAGTTGTTCCTGTGCAGGTGCAGGACGCCGCAGGCCACCTCGCACGCCATCCTCTGCAGGGTCAGCAGGTCCGGGGTCATGGCCTCAGCCCCCCGGCAGCTCCGCAGGTACCCCTTCAGGTCACCCTGCGGGCAGTGCCACTGTCACCTTCCGCGGGCTCGGCCACAGGGGCTGGGACGTGCCCGGCGCCCATGGGGGCACAGTGGGCAGTGGGATGGGGCACGGGGGGCACAGGGGTGACACGGACTCACCAGCGGGCAGAACTCCATCACCAGCAGGTAGGGGGTGACCTCGGCACACTGGGCCAGGCACTGCAGCAGGTTGGTGTGCTGGAGGGCTCTGTGCGGGCAGAGCAATGGGGGCACATGGGCACTGTGCCAGGGGGTTGGGGGCTGGTCCCAGCACCCCATTGCCCTGGCTGTGCTTGGGGGTGACAGTGGCAACCCCCCCGGAACCACTGCCCTGCGTGGGCTGGGGTGAGGGGACGGCAGGAGCCCCCCGGGAACCGTCACCCTTCCTGCACCGCGGTGGGCGCGGGGGCTGCCGGGAGTGCCGGAGCGGGTACCAGCATGTCCCAGCGCCCCAGGCTCACCACAAAGGGACGTTTGTTCAGCTGTGCCCAAGCAGGAGCAGCCCCGTGCCCCCCCTCAGCCCCCACTCTGCCCATGACCTCACTGCTGCCCCTCGCCATGGCCAGTGGCTCCGCACAGCCCAAGCCCTGCCCCAATGAGCCCCAGGCAGACGGGTTGGGAGGGAGCTGAGCTGCTGGAGAGCTCAGCTGGCACCTCCATGGGACAGCCACGGCTCTGCCTGGCAGCCAAAGGTGCCATAGAGGGGACCTGCCACCATCCCAGAGCATCCTCGCTCCCGGCACCGCGGAGTGACCCCAGAGGTACCTGTAGGGCTGCGCTTCCTCCAGGAACTGCATCTGGTCCTGCACGCTGGCACTCGCCTTCAGCTCCTTCACCACCACCTGGGTGCTGCTGATGCCCGAGTTCACTTCCCCCAGGAACACCTGGGGCAAGGGACAGGCTCGTCCCTCCATCCACACCCTGAACCCGCCTGGCACAGCCGGGGCCCCGCGTCCCACCGGGGTGGGGTGTCGGGGGGTCCCTGCCCCTGGGCTCACCTTGCCGAACCAGCCATGCCCGATCTCCTTCAGGTACAGGAGGCTCTGCCGCCCCAGGTCCGCCGACTTGAGGAGCTGCACTGTAACAGAGCACACCCAGCTGCCCGCGTGTCCCTCTGACCACGCATGCCCCCCTTCCCGGTGCCCCCCTGCCCCCTGCCATCCCCCACCAGTCCCGGCCAAGCCCTTGCCATCCCCACCGCGTCACCCGGTGCCAGGCCCTCTGCCACGCTGGGATGCTCCGGAGAATCCATGCCCTGGCACCCTGCATCCCAGGCATCTTCCTCTCCAGGCATCCTCCCATGGTGGTGAGACATGGGGTATCGGTGTCCCCAAAGTGGGTGGCAGCAGCGCTGGATCCCTGCCCTTTCTCCTCTGCAGGGCAGGCGGAGCTGAGCCCGGCGCAGCACTGGCATTTAGCCCCTTCCCAGCCCCCCCAGCGCAGTCCTGCCCCTCGGGTGCCCGTGCCAAGGGCAGGCAGCAATGGGACCATTGTTGGCCCTCGCTGGCCCCCCCCACCACGACCATTCTTTGGGTGGGGAATGACACAGAGAGGGAGGGGGCACAGCCAAGCACCCCCCACATTCCTCTCCCACTCATGGGCTTGTTTACACGGGACTGGGGCTTGCGGGTGCCACCATTTGGAGTGTCCGTGTCCCATCCCATCCTGCCAGGGTTGGGGACAAGAACAAGGGATCTTCGCACAGGGGAATCCTCGCAGCGCTCCCCAGGGACCTCGGCTGCCTGTCCCCTGCTCAGGGCTCTCTGAGCTGTCCCTCCTCAGCAGGGGAGACCCACCGTCCCCAGCTCACTCTACTGCTCTGTGATGCAGGACCCCCCCAGCCACAGCTCTCAGGGGTCCTGCCCCCTCCCCAGCTTACCTGAGCGCCCCGGCTGCTTGGCCATGGGCAGGGACACCTTGGTGAGGGGCAGCACGTAGACCTCGGGGCCATGCTGGGGGGCAGGCGAGCCCTGGGCCGACAGCTCCGTCACGTAGTCATCCCCCTCGGCGTTCTCAAACTCCTGCTCCAGGGGATTGGGGGGGGGGACACACCGAGCAGAGACAACTGACCCCAAGGGCTCCCCACTGCCAGCAGTGCCCCACACACCCCTCTGCCCCACACCCCCAGGCACGGGGACCCTCAAACCCCACCCTCCACTCAGACAACCCTGCCCCCTCCACGGGGATGGCACCCCGTCCCCACAACCCACCCCAGTACCTGGCGGTGCCACCCTGGCACACCCCGGCCCCCGAAGGCCGCCCGGGCGAGCAGGTAGGTGACGGTGAGCATCTCGCCCTGCCCAGTTCTGCCTCATGGCGCTGCTGACACCGCCGGCACCGCGCCGTGTGCCATGTGCCGCTGTGTGCCATGCGCCGTGTCCCGCCGGACACCGGCCCGGCCGCGCTCCTTTATAGCCAGCACGGGGGCCGTGGGGGTCACTGTCCCCCCGGCCCAGAGAGGTGTGGGACGTTACACAACACCCAGCGTGTCCCCCCCAGCCTGACCCCCTCCTGCTGCGGGCGCCTCAAGCCTCCACAAAAATCCCAGCAATTAGGGAAAAAGCGTTTTCTCGGCACATTCTGTGCCTGTGAGGTCAGGGTGCCTCCCACCCTCGGGGGCGTGAGGGTGGGACCGCCAGGGCCTTAACCGTGGCGTGGCCTGACCCTGCGCAGAGCCGGGAGCACAGATGGGTCAGGATACGACCCCCAGTGATCCTGAACCCCACAGCAACCACGCTCCGTGGAGCTGGGAGCCAGGATGGGTCAAGCTACGATCCCTCAGTGATGCTGAACCCCACATATCCATGCTCTGTGGAGCTGGGATCCTGGATGAGTCAGGATACGACCCCCAGGGATGCTGAGTTCCACAGCCCCTGGCAGGCAGTGAGGGTCTGAACCCCCTCTTTGAGCACTGCTCTCCTGAACCAGGACGCACCCAGCCCTGGTGCTGGGGCAGGGGATCCTGCACTGGGAACCTCTGAACACCTCCATCCCTTCCTGCAGAACCCGGGGACCCCCCAGCTCACCTTGAAGCCGATGTCCCCCTTCTTGCAGCACAGACAGGCCAACATGAGGAAGATGAAGGTGAAGAGCCCCGAGAAGGAAACAGCCACGACAGCCAGCGAGGAGGACCAGGAGAGCTCGCTAAGGGGGGTGCCGTCTGTGGGGACACGAGGGGGTCAGGGCAGGGGGCTGGGGGCACCAAGGGAGGGGTCAGGCTGTGCTTGGGTGGGGGTCATGGGATCTGGGGGTTCATCAAGGGGGTTTGGCCACAGCACAGTCACATCCCAAGGCTGGCCAGATGCTGCAGCTGTGGGAGCTGGAAAGACAGGAATTTGGTTCCACGAGCCCCACACCAGGCACAGGGACGGGATAGGGCTGCTCCGGCTGGGCATCGCATCCTCTGGCCAGCGGCTCACCCCAAATCCCAGCACCCACAACCCCACTCCAGCCGGTGCCGTGTCGCTCGGGGTGGCAGGGGGCACGGTGGCCACGGTGGCAGCGGTGGTGGCCATGTCCCAGCTGCCGTCCCCAGCAGGCCTCGCTGCCAGCTGCAGCTGCCACATTACTATTCCAGCCAGAGCCTGCCTGAACAACCGGCGCCGTTGTGGTGGGAGGCAGCCGGAAGGTTGCAATGCTGCCAGCAGAGCTGGTCATCGGGGACCCCCACAGCCCTGCAGCGCCCAGCACAGTGCCCTCCTGCGGGACAACAGGGCTGGGGCCTGGGGCAGGTGCCCCTGTGCTCAGCTGTGCCCCCCACACAGACCCCCACCGGCACTGCAGGCCCTCCCTGGGTCACCGAGCCTGTGCCAAGCCCCTGGGGAACACTCGTGGCACACACGTGGCTCCAGCACACGGACCACGGAACATCCCTGTCCCTGTGCTCTGACAACACTGTCCCATGCCAGGACCGCCACCAACTCCCATGTGCCCTTGAGACCAGCACTTGAAGGGCACCAGGGGGCTGGGGAAGGTCCTGCTGCCCCGGTGGGCACTGGCAGTGCCTGGCTGCTCCCTGGCACCGTACGGCACAGGCATGGGCACCCTGGCTCCCAGCTAGGCAGTGAGCGGGCACATGGCCCCACGGGCCTTGGCACGGCTCAGCCATGCCAAGGAGTGTGGAAGGAGCTCCAGAGCCATCTTCTGAGGCTCGGGATGCAAAGCCGAACCTGGGAGGAGCGGGGGGCGGCGTGCCCCCCCTTCCAGCTGGTTTCCATGGTGAACACACTTTGTACCGCCAACGTCACCATTTTCCCTGGATAGTGGGACAGCAAAAGAGAAAATGACTCACTGAAAAGAGCCTTTGAACGGCGACAAGGAGCAGAGCACAGGGACAGGAGCCTCTCTGAGAGGACCGTCAGCTGAGCCACCCCTCAGTTTGGGAACCAGAGCTTCCCAAATGAGCCAGCAGGCCAGTGAGACACGGTTTGTCCTGTCCCCGTTTCCTCACCTGAACAACCAGCTCTCTGGGAGCAGTGATCAGCCCAGACTGGGCACCACCACTGCCATGACCCAGTGCCACTATCCAGCCGCTCTCCATGTACCCACAGCACCAGCGCTGGGTGCGGTGATGGGAAATGCGGTGCCATCTCAGAGGCCAAGTTATCCCAAAACCAGGTCAGATGCACCTGCAGTGGCAGCTGCTGGAGCACCAGGGTGCAGGGGGCACCAGGACGTGGCAGGCACCAGGGTACAAGGAAGCACCAGGGCACAGGGCTGGCTGTGTGCAGCGTGAAGCAACCCAAGGCTCTCCAGAGAAGGCAGGGCCCCCACCACATCCTGCCTCACATCCTCAGGCCCTGCCTTCCACTTTCCCAGCAGGAACAGGGATGCACCAATGCCATGACCTCCCATGGCCTTGGCACTTGGCCTTGCCACAGAGGTCATGTTGAGAATGGCGAGCTCAGTGCATCCCCCAGAACTGCTGCATCACCCGCAGCCCCAGCGCCCAGGACCACCCAGCACCCAGTGACCCCCAGCAGCGGGGTCGGCGTGCCAAGCCAGGGATCACCCACCTCACCTGGCCAGCCCAGCAGGTGAGGACAGGTGGGGGGCTGGTGGCAGCAGTGAGACCACAGCTCCAGCCCCAGGAGCACCTGTCCCAGCCTCACAGCCAGCCCTGGGAAACGGGAGCAGAACACTGGCAGAGGGAGAGGGGGGTGCTGGATGCAGGGGGATGCACTGGGATGCAATGGAGTGAAGTGGTGTATAGTGGGGTGCAACGGGGCGCAGTGGGACGTACCAGGATGAAATGGGGGGCGGTGGAATGCAGTGGGGTGTAGTGGGGTGCAGAGAGGTGCAGTGGGGTGTAGTGGAATGCTGTGGGGTGCAGAGGGATGTAGTGGAATGAAGTGTGGTGCAGTGGGGATGCAATGGGATGCAGTGGGGTGCAGTGGGGTGCAGTGGGGATGCAATGGGATGCAGTGAGAGACAATGAGACACAGGCTGCCCTCCCACCCCACAGATGCCGCCCCGCAGCTGGCACAGCCCAGCCCACATTGCTGCCCCCCCCCACCCCCCCCCCCAGCCTGTTGCATCGCCCACCCAGCGCAGGTCGCAGCCCCCACCGCCGGGTCCGGGCAGGGATGGGGAGAGGCCGGAGGGTCCCGGCGGGGTCCCGGCCCCGGTCCCGCCGGCGCTGCCCGGAGCAGGGCCGTGCCCGTGTGCTGACTCACGTTCCCGGGCCGGCTGCGGCCGCCCGGCCGTGCCCCGCTGGCTCCGGCGGCCGGCGGGGCGATGCTGCGGCCGCTCGGCTCCCCCGGCGGGCGCGGGCGGCGATCGCGGCTGACGTGTGCGGAAGGGCCGAGCCGGGGCTCCCGCAGCGCTCCCGGCCCCGCCGCGGCCCCTGCACACCCCGCGGGCACCGGCACGGCACGGAAAGCTGCGGGCACGGGGCACAGGACACCGAGACGCCCCCCCGCCCCGCTCCCGCATGGCCCCCCTCGATGCATCATTTTCCCCGCTGGTGATTCCCAGCTGCCCTGGGGCACAGGGGGGCTGCCCTGGTGGGGTGCGGGCTCGTAGGGTCACCCAGCAGCTGACGGATGCTCTGGTACCTTGGGAGCATGGTCCGCACAACCCCCACCCCCGCCGTCCCCTCGTCCACCGTGGATCCCAGCCTGGGGCAGCACCGCCCACCTAGAAGAGGCTGGATTTGGGCAGGGAGAAGAGTAGGATTTAGGCAGGGAGCGACACAAGACTAGGGCAGGATTGGGGCAGGGAGCAGGGCAGGATTGGGGCAGGATTCGGATGGGATTTGGGCAGGATCAAACACTCATGCCCCTTAGCCCCCTCCAGCCACAGGCTCCTCACTCCCTGGTGCAGGCACAGCCCTGGCATCACGTTAATCCCCGTGTCCATGGGCAGCTTCCAGGGAAGCAATTTCACAGCCCGCAGGACGCGCGCTCTGCTCACCCACACGCATCCAGGCGGCCCCGAACCATCCGCTGCCATTTGGCGTGCGAGCACACGGCTGTGCCAGCACACGGCTGTGCCAGCACACGGCTGTGCCCCCCGCGTGCAGCTCCCGGGAAACTGAGGCACCGGCACGGCCCCCCTGGGCTGCACCCCTGAGCTCCCATCCCCCTGCCACGGGAGCAGCCCACGGAGCAGGGCTGGGGCTGGGGCTACCCACTGGTGCCACGGGATCCGGGCATCCTTCCCAGGGGTGCCCAGAGCATCCTCCACCCGGATACTATTGGATTCAGGCACCCCCTCACCAAAAGGGGGTTCAGAGAGCAGCACCCTTTATCCCCATCCCCAGAGACCTTCTCCCACCACTGGAGCAGCCGCTCCAGTGATTAACAGATCAGTTAATTGTGAACGCCAGGCACGCCTCACTAATCCCTTCTCCTTCTCTATCTTCTAATGTGGCTTATTTAACCAAAAGGATTGATTCAGCCCCTTATTTCTGGTTTTACCATCTTGGGCTGAAACAGCAGCAAAAAAACATGAATAGATGGAAAATAAGCTAAAATCATCCATCATTTTCTGAGGCAATGAAATAAAAACAAGGACTGTGCAAGGGAAAGGCCAAGCCCCAGCGTTGCTGCGCACACACCACGCGTGTCAGCCTGATTAGGGACAAAAAATCAAGTTCCTCCATCAAAGCAAGCCCTGATGCAGAGCCAGGAACCGCCAACTCCCTCCATTTCCAGGGAAAATAATAATAT